AGATTTTCAGCACTCTCAATATTACTCATATAATATTTCAAAATAATAATAATAATAATAATAATAATAATAATAATAATAATAATAATAATAATAATATTAGAAACTTAATTGTTGACTTAAAAATACCATAAAAAGATTAATATTATTATTATTATTATTAACAACAAATCGTACATGCCATTATTAATTACTAACGAATCATTAAACGATGTTATTTATTACGCCAAGTCAACAATATTGGAAAGTTAGAAATTGAAGATAAAAATCGTAATGCGAATTCAATTTTGGTAAAAGAAATTTGGCTTAACCTTAAACTCGCGTGTTATGAGTTAATAGCGATTTTTGTTGACTTCGAATACTAAATAACATCATTTGATGAATCATTGGTACTAATAGTGCTACGTAGTATTTAATGTTATTTTTTCGCAAAGTGAGAATTAGCACGACAGTTAAAAACTTGAATGAGTATTACCAAAAAAAATAGAATCGTTCGTGTGATTAATCAAAACGTCATTAACCACTGATGTAATTAACTTGTTGTTCCATTTATACTCTTGGTGGGTCAAGACTAGACTCTAAACATATATGCTTGGCTCTTCTTTTAACCGAAACTACTTAGAGAATAATGTTCAATGACCCGTTTTGCAATAATGGTACCACGTAGTATTACATGTGATTTCTTTTATCAAATGATCATAAGTGCGACAATTAAAAACTTAAGTGATTATTATCATAAAAAATAGTTTCAATGACATTGGTGTAACTATTCAAAATTTATGTATTAGTTGTATTTTCGTCATTTGATATCATAATAGGTGAAGACGTTGTTTTATCCATATTTGCTAAAAACAAATTGAATAAATAAAATTATATACATTATTATCAAAGTGACAAACATATTGCATACATGTGATCTTTTAATTAAAAAGTGATGTGACACGTCACTTTAAAATGTAAAATCTTAATTCGTAACCAATAAAAAGAAAAGTAAAGAATAAGATCTAAATATCAGTTAAAAATTTTGATAAGCACATTGTAATCTCACAAAAATGTTGTATTAAAAAATTCAAATTATATATTGTGTGGCATTTGTCACTTTTTGATACGTGACAAACATGATAGCAGAATCGTCAAAAAATTCAAGCCACCGCTGAAAAGCGAATGCCAACACAAAAGACCCCTACCCCCAAATGCATTGTCAATCTCGACACCACTCGTTGGAATGTTAACAATCACAAACTAAAACATGAGAAATGAACATACAAGTAGATTCAAAACAGTAAAAAATACGAGGAAAAAAAGGAGTTTAAAATAAAAATTGGAGAATGAAAACGAAAATAAGATGGAGATTTTGACGTTATTTTTAAAGTCAACGGTCAACTTTTCTACCTGAATTTTGACAGTATTTTCCCTTTTTTAAGGAGAATTTGAGTTTGTTTAAAAGTCAATTGCTTATATACGGTTAGTAAGATGGAGATTTTGACGTTATTTTGGTCGAAAAGTGCTTCTCGATCGGAGATAGGTACCTTGAGTCTAGTAACTATGATTAAAATAATATAACTCTTAGCATTTTCGAGAAGTGTTTCATAATTTAAGAAATGATTGTGGTAAGAGAGAGTAATAGATGGGATGATTGCTACTACACATTGGCACGGTACAATTTATATGTGGGCGTCAATTACTTTGAGGAGCTAGTGAAGTCCATTCAGAGTTGTGCAGATTAAACATCATGGGGCACCATTGATAAAGACATTGCTGCGGAAGACTCAGAATAGTACTCTTCCTTTTGTGATCACCATAAAACTTGGTTTTAGTTGTGCGGTGTTACTTTCCATAGTCGGCAGAGAAAATCTGAAGTTCGATAATGGAGGCAACGACAAACTTTCTCGTACTCTTTAGACTTCAGAAAAGTGTATTGCGTAACTTTTGTTGATATTGTTATTCAAAACAATAAAAATGAGATTTGGAATGAAATCAAACTTGGAAGCCAAAATTTGGGTCTATGCGACCGCATAGACCAAAGTGGCATGCGGTCGCATGGACCCACGCCGAGATTTTTGAAGGCCATTGAGTTACTCTATGCGACCTCATAGAGTTGCTCTATGCGGTCTCATAGAGATTTTTTTAAGAGCCGTTGGGGCAGTTTTCTTTATGAAATGTGGCTACTTTTGGAGGGTAATTTGCAACTTTTCCATGAGTTTTTGGCACCAATGGGTATTGATCCAAGCCTATAAATATGATGAAAGATGATCAAATACATGTGTGTGAAAACAATTGATAAGAGAGTTTTCATAAGATTAATTCCAAAAAGAAAAGAAACAACTTCTTTCTTCTTCCATATTCATATTTCCCTCCTTGTGTTCTCAAGTTTGGGTAGAAATACTTAGGCCCTGTTCTCTTTGTTGTTTTCCAACCATTTTCTATTTTCAATTTCTCAAAACAGCGAAAACGCGTTCTCTATCTTATTTTCGAAAACGCGTTTTGGAAAATGAAGAAAAAAATATAACTGAAAACGGAAAACAACAAAAACATCGTTTTGTAAAATTTTTGGAAAAACAAGGTAAAAACTCG